CATGCCGCAACCCGCGGCGGGGCGGCTCGTCAGCCGCGTTCCTCTCGCTGGGCACCCATCGCAGACAAAGCTGGATGTCCCGCAGCGGGAGGGGGGAGGCCAGCTGGCGGGCGACGCAGCACTGACCTGGGGCGCTCGACCTTCCCTTCTGAGCCGAAAGCAACGCGCCCATGGAGTCCGTGAGAGCGAGGACCCGCTTCTGGATCGCGAGTCCTTGCCACCCTTCTGAGGACTCCCACCAGGGCCCGACCTTCGAGACAAGTGATGTGCTCACTACGCTCCCAAGCCTTACTACTGACCGTGTGCCACTTAGCGTGCAGCAAGCTAGTGTGAATCCCAGGAACAGGAGGCACTCTTCGAAAGGAACCTTCAGGTGCCCCAGCTTCATGATCCCCATCTCTTTGCTCCCCATCTTCCAGTGCTGCCCGACGATTAACGCGACCTCCACCCAAGAAGTGCCACCGATCCGAATACCTGCTGGCCTCGTCCAACACCTCAGTGAGCGGCCGCGCCGCGCATATCCCAAGACCCCACGGCGACGCATCACGCGCATGGGCCCTCGGTCCCCACCGCTTGGTAAGGTCGCACTCGAGCAAAGGAAGCAACGCGTGTGCCCAACGGAGTTCTCTCAGCACCGCGGGCCACAACTTCGAGGGGCTATCGGGGTTCTTCTCTATGAACACATACACAGCGCGAAAGCATGACAGCAACTCCCGACGAAGCATTGCCTGATGGTAATGTGTCCCAAGAGCTTCCGAAGCGTCCTACCAGAACAACGACGGCGCCTCAAGAGGAACTCCAACGCCATCCACGCCCTCCATCTCCTTTCATGTCGTGGTAAGATCCGACCGTCTCGCGAAACGCTGAGCCCCAGTAGATCTTCTCCGACTCCGACGACATCGACCTCGTGAGCCTCTAAACCGGCACCCCGAACAGCCGACAGGGATCGCTGAGTAAGATCTCGACAAACATCAGGGGAGCTCGAGAAGACGCCCACGTTGTCCACATATACCGACACACACCCATTTTTCAGATCACCGACCGGACGATGATCCTGCAGAAGATGAGAGCTCGGAAACGCCTGGCTCAAAATCCTCTCGTGTATTGTCTGGCACCAGTGCAGCGCGTGGACCCAACCCATCGGCATGGCAGTAAGCCGAGGTCGCACAATCCCTCCGGTGCTCAGAATGTCGGGGAGCAGCTGCTTCATCCACTTAGCCTTGATGGGGGGCAAATGTAAAAATCTCCGCAATTCGGGGGGTGTTCCAAACTGAAAGAAAGCATCCTTTAAATCGTACTGACCTACATACAGCTGCTCTCCGGCCTCGAGCCTCAACCTGGACAGAGCGCCCGACGTGGGCAGCTCGACATGGTCACTACTCGTGAAGAAGCAATTGGACTGCCGACAATCGGCAATCAGGCGCTGGGCACCGCTCATCTTGCGCACAGTAAAAAGTCCTACGCAAGCGTCACCCTCCTCGCACACAAACTCAACCATGTTCCTGTCATGCAGCACCCGCAGCACGCGTGCATATCGGCGCGCAGACCTGCGAAGACCAGGGTCATGAAAAATCTTCATCTTGCTCGCTTCGAAACTGTGCACGCCTACCGAGTTTGGTAGCGCATGCTCGCACATCCACGCCTGGACTTCCTCACGACCTTTGGGGCCCAGAAGCTGACAAATACCAGTTGGGGCCGTCCCTGCTGGCCTAAGCGACAGCAGAGACTCGTCCAGGGGAACTGCTGGCGAACTCTCGCCAGAGTAGTCACGCCCGCCGCTGATGCTCGAAAAAGAAGCCTCGGCCGGCTGAGCACCGGCGGGGGGGTGCCCATCCTGCTGCAACGTTCCCGGAGGTGCCCCATGCTGCCCTCGCCCAGAGGGGAAGCAGCACCAGCAGGACAGCACGGAGCACCACCCAGGTACATTTCCGTAAGGACGGAGGAGGCGTCATGACTAAGCCTATTCAACCACTGCTCAGATGAGACTGGAAGACTGCTCAGCCCTGGCGGCCGCCTAGTCGCACAGATCGAGGGCTCTGACCCCGATGCTGTTACCCGATGTTCTAAAAGATGCCGAGGCTCCGTCGACGACAGTAGCCGACTCGACTTCGCACTCGAATATCTCGCCCCTCTGAGCGAAGGATGGCCTTCCTGCGCTGCTGGCCGCCCGATGAGGCCGTCTCCGACGGCCCCGCGTGTGCTCATTGCCCGCCGTCCCCACGGCCGCGACCACCTCCGCCTGGGGGCTGACGAAGTAGGGCTCTTTCTTCTCGTGCTTTCCTGGCCTGCTTCTGGATCTGCGACTCCTTCTCTAACTCCTTGCTCACGTGCTTGATAAGGGCCGGGGCGCAGCGCACCGTGGGGTTGACGTGCTGCCGACCCTCGAACAGGTCCATCTCATCATTCGTGATGACCGCCGAACCGGCAACGGAGGAAGAGGCGCCGGCGGTCCCACCGCGCTCTCCCTCTCGAACCTTCTCCGCGTACTGGTGCTCTATGGTCTGGAGCCGGCGTGCGATCTTCTCCATCGCCACCAGATTCGACAGGTCGAGTTGGTCCACGCTTCCCGCCGCCTCAAGGTACGAGCACAGCTGGCCATGCTCGGCCACGCCCCAGTCAGAGGCGTTCAGGCGGGCGGTCGATCTCCAACAGCGGTGGTGGTCCTCTGGCCCTGTGTTACGACGGGCCATGAAGCGGGCCACCCACTGCGCTGTCCTCGGCCCCTTCACAGGCCAATGGTCGATCGCACTCTCGTTCACATTCTCCGCCACGTTTGCCCAGCTGCGCAGCCGCTCGCCGGAGGGAGAGTACCGAACCGGCAGCGCCCGCGCGTCACTGGAAGCAGCGTGGTCCGTCTTCCACTGCTCGACCTGGTTCCTCGCAACCTTCTCCACCAAGAGCACGTCTAGCCCGGCGCGATGCCGCGCTTCTCGACAATCGCTTCTGGCTGCCCCAGGCACTCGTCTCCGACCGAGAACACTGCGTTCGACTCCACGAACAGCCAGACTTCCTGCTCGGCTCCAGGCGGAGCCGCTCCGCGACCTGCCAGAGCCACCAGATCCTGCGCCTCCTCCATCAGGCCGCGCAGCGCGGCCTGATCGGGTTCAGCACCTGCTCTGAAGTTGTAGATGTTGGCGCCCTGCAAGCTCGCCGGGATGCTGCCGTCCGCCTTGAACGCTCGCACACCGGTGATGTCGTCGTTGTTCGGGCCGTAGTCCTCCTCGTACAGGTCACTGTCCGGTGTGTATATGATCCACCTTGTGTCCTCAACTCGAGCGAGCAGGATACGAACGTGCCAGAGGTCATCGTCGTACCGCACCAGCACCTTACGCCCCGGGGCCAACGACGATGACACCACCGCCTGCCCCGCCGCTCCTGCCTGCCCGGCTGCTGCCACCAGCTGCGCCATCTGTCAGGCTGACCGCCCGCTTGGAACTGCGAAACGAGCAACTGCGACCAAAGAGAGCTCCCACCACGAAGGCCACCGCGACGAAGCTGACGTGCAACACGAAGTTGATCTCGTAGCTCGTCGTGCTGTTTGTCTGGCCCTGAAGCTGCTGGGCGACCAGACGCTCGAGCGCGGGGCACTCTCCGCTCGCCTCGCCCGAGACGACGCACTGGCAGACACAAGGAGGACACGCTTCCTCCACCTGTGTTCTAGAAAAGAGATGGTACACTCCTGACAGAGAGTCTCGAGTGAGTGTGTACAGCAGCAGAGGATCAACCTGCATATGCATCCAGGGAGCCCCCCTTTGAGCCACACGCGCTACGGATAGCAACATCGGTTGACGCAAGACGTGCGCGCACTAGTATGATGATGCTGATGATGATGAGGAGGAGCAGGAGGAGGAGGAGGAGGAGGAGGAGGAGGAGGAGGAGGAGGAGGAGGAGGAGGAGGAGGAGGAGGAGGACGAGGAGGAGGACGAGGAGGAGGAGGAGGAGGAGAAACATTAACAGCATCAGCAACAGCAGACAACGGACCAGGACCAACTGAGACGACGGCGGCGCTCCCGCCTGGCCCACAATGCACTCACAATCGGTCCCCGGACCCCTCCTGGGGCCCATCCTGACCCGCTGTCCGAGGCGGATCCGGGCGTGGCGGCGAGAAGCCCCAGGAGGCCCGACAAAGAGAGGAAGACCGCCACCGGGCAAGGCCGCCGTGGTCTCGACTGGACTGGTAGCCGACGCGGGGGCGGCGAGGCCGTCGGGGGCCAGGGATCCGAGGCCAGGGCTCGGGGCCCTGTGGTGCCCTGTGGCTGGCGCCCCCTGCGGTGCTCTGCGGCTGGTGCCCCCCCCTGTGGTGCCCCGCGGTTGGTGCCCCCTGTGGTGCCCGGAGAACCTGCAGGGGCCCAGAAGCACGCAAATGACTAGACACGAGCGTCCCAAGATGCCCCATGATGTTCTGATGCTTTCTGGGTTTTCGTCTTCCCCGCCCCACTGCCCACGTCTTCCCATATTTTCCGGGGGGTCGACGACGAATTGTGTCTGTGTGTGTGTGTGTGTGCGTGTGTGTGTGTGTGTGTGTGTGTGTGTGTGTGTGTGTCTGTGTGTGTGTGTGTGTGTGTGTGTGTGTGCGTCTTCCCTCTGGAGAACCTACTGGCTGGGGTCCACGCGCGGGTACCGTAATCTCTCGCTTCCCGAGCGCGTCGTTGGGCGATCGAGGGAGAGCTCTCTCCGTCGGCGGTTCGGCGGAGGCGATCCGCCCCAGCGAAGTGGCACATCGGGGGCACCAGTCGGCCAGAACTGTCCGGCGCGCAGGAGAGCGACGGGGGAGAGGGAGGGCGGCCGCGCGGGGGGAGCAGGAGGCAGAGTTCGCGGAGAAGGAGAGAAGGCCGCGCGGCCGCGAAGGGGGAGAAGGAGGCAGAGTTCGCGGCCGCGTGGCCGCGAATGGGGGAGAAGGAGAAGGAGGCGCTGCGACGTGGCAGAGCTCGAGCCCCAGAGGAGCACGGGGAGGCGCCGAGGCGTCGAGGTGCCGCGGCAGCGCGAGGCGCCCGCCGCGCCTCCTCCCCGAAGTAGTCCCGGATCTCGTCCCCCAGGGGCTTCCCGTCTCCGACCTCGGGGCCCCTTCCCCTCGGCGGGGAGCGCTCGCCCGAGGCCCCAGCGCTTGTCGTCGTCGTCGTCGTCGTCGCCGTCCTCGTCGCCGTCGTCGCCGCCGCCGTGGACGCCGCCGTCGTCGTCGTGATCGCCGCCGTCGTCGTCGTCGTCGTCGTCGTCGTCGTCGTCGTCGTCGTCGTCGTCGCCGCCGCCTTGGACGGCGCCGTCGCCGCCGTCGTCGTCGTCGTCGTCGTCGTCGTCGTCGTCGCCGCCGTCGCCGCCGCCGTGGACGCCGCCGTCGTCGTCGTCGTCGTCGCCGTCCTCGTCGCCGTCGTCGCCGCCGCCGTGGACGCCGTCGTCGTCGCCGTCGTCGTCGTCGTCGTCGTCGTCATCGTCGTCGCCGTCGCCGTCGCCGTCGCCGTCGCCGTCGCCGTCGCCGTCGCCGTCGCCGTCGTCCTCGTCCTCGTCCTCGTCCCCCCCTCTCCTCGTCCTGCACCCCCTCCTCCTTCTCCTCCTCCTTCTCCTCCTTCTCCTCCTCCTCCTCCTTCTCCTCCTCCTCTGGAATCCCTTACGACTCGAACAACGGCAAGTTCGTGTCGTGACGACGTTGGCATTGGCTTCTGGCCCTGCGCGGATCGCTCAGCCTTGTGCGATCGCGGCTCTCCCACAGCGCGGATCGTGCGACAAAGCCGATCTGATACCGTAAGGAATGCTAGACAATGACCAGTGGGAAACTAGAGCATACACATTACAAGTGGCGAGCTGTTTTTCAATCCCAAGACCTTGAAGGTCGGGGACGACATCGTGGTGGTATGTTGTATACTTTCTTTTCCGTTCAACTGGGGAAATAACGATGCATGTATACACCAAGTCCCTGTATACGCCAAGATCCGCTCTCCTGTGCAAATCTCAGTGCAGAACCTGACAAAGCGTCGGTGTATAGAGTTTGGTTCCCTACAGAGCCCTTTTGGGGCCCAAAGCGCTGGTGTGCACGAGGAGCGCTAGGTGAACAGCCATGGAAGGACCTCGGCAGCAGCCGACCATTCCGAACTCGAGCTGCTCCTTAATTCAGCGTCTCGACAGAACACATCGGCCGACGTCGCGCCACAGGCAACGCCGAGAGCCCTGAACGACCGCGCCTGGGCCGCCACCGTGCCGACGCGGCGCGAGCCTGCTGATTTCCCTCCCCGCTTCACTCCTCCCCCCCTAGAGGAAAGAGAACTATGCACATACACCGATTCTGGCCAGGCCCATCCTGAGCCCAGGATCGGTGCATACGCCCTCCTACCTTGGCCAGGAATGTATATGCACCGATCCTGGATCAAGGATGGGCCTTCCCAGGATCGGTGCATGTGCACAGTTCTCTTCGCCCGACCCCCTCCCCCCCGCCCCCCTTCCCTCCCTCCGTCTCCAGAGGTTCCCTGGAGGCCACTGGAGGCCCCCCTCAAGGGGGCAGAAGCGTCCAGACATCTCGGCTCTCCAGCCCGAGCCTCGCTCCCCGGACCTCCGCGATCCTCCTCGATCCTCGATCTCCTCGATCCTCGATCTCCATCTCGATCCTCCTCGATCCTCCTCGACCCTCCTCGACCCTCCTCGACCCTCCTCGACCCGACCCTCCTCGACCCGACCCTCCTCGACCCGATACTCGATGCCCGATCCTCCGCGATCCTCGGCCCTGCCCGAGCCTCCTCGGCCCTCCTCGACCTTCCTCGATCCTCTCGAGCCTCCCCGAACCTCGCCCCCCGCGCCGCGCGAGCGCCCAGGGGCTCGCCGTAGGTCCGGCATGTCCCCCTACAGGCGGATTTTGGAAGAACAACAACAATTGAACAAGATCCCCAAATAGTCAGGAATACCAGAAGCATCGCCCCCAGACTATTTTTCCAAAAGCCATTTTCGAATTTTCCTCCCGCAAAGGGACAGGCCCGACTTATGAAGCTCGTCTCGAGGTCCTCCCGCGCCGGCTCCCCCCCCCTGGAGAGCGGCAGCCCCACGGCCCGCGCCGCGAGGGCGCGAAGCGGGGCTTCGTCTCTCTCGCGAGACGAAGCCCGGACGAGAATGACGTCGGGCGAGGGTAGATCGGAAGTCTCTGCGACCCGGCGGCGCTGGGAGATGCCTCTAGGGAGCCCACAAAGGACGTACGCGCCCAGCTATGTACATGAACACGGCCCCTTGACCCGCGAGACCGGCCGCGTGATACGACCATTCGCGCAATGCGAAATCTCGAAACCAGCGTGGATTCATGTACGTGTACTTCCTTCTTTCGCTCCTGAGTCTCGGGCTTAGCTGCCCCGATACGCAACACGCACCACGTACCGTGTCGATACGGAACTCAGCACGCTGGCTGAAAACGCAGGTCCGGCGCGATGCGTTCGCCCAAACGCGGTCCAATACGTGGAGCCAACACGCAACGTATTGACACGGACGTCTTGAACACGGGACGTGTGGCTTTTTAAAACGCACGTATCGAGGAAACTAAAGTCTCGGGCGCCGCGGCCTTCTCAGAGCGTTCCGGAACGCTCAACGCTCTGAGAGCGTTCCAGAAGGCTCTGGAACGGATTTATCCTCGTCCTGGCCCCCGTCCGACGAGAGGGCGCGACGCGTGGTCGTCCCTCGGCTGGTGCCAGTGGTTTTGGACATCGGAAATGTGTACCGAAAAAGTGGGCGGGATGCCAAACAACACATGTTGTTTAAGCGTGGCCGTCTCTCGGGTGCTGCGACACCAGAAATGGGTACGGGCAGAACTTGTACGATGCCAAGCAACATATGTTGTCTAAAACCGACAGCGGCCGCTGTGGGCCAGACGGCCTTCTGTGTCAAATGGAGGCTCAACATGAGCAGGAATTGCTGTCGGTCTTCGTGCCCGTCATTTTCGTACCCATGTGTTCGTGCGGAGAGGTGCTCCGAAGATCCATAAATTATGTCCCGCGTCCCAAGGAGGTCCCCGCGGCCCCCAAGGAGCACCCCTCGCGAGGTCCAGAAGGCCCCAAACGTTTCAACATGGGGACAAACGCCGGGGACACCTTCCCTGAGATGCGGCATTGTGGAACATCGTCGCACCGAGAAGCAAATACGACCAGAGCCCCAGACCTCATCTTTGTGCTACATTCTTCGAGCAGGGTCGATCTGTGATGGTTCTGGGGCCCGAAATCAAGCGACAACGCCCAATGTGAAAGAATAGTTCTGGCGAAGGACCCAACCACATGCAGCTCGTCGTTGCGTGTACTGCCTTCGGTGAATTTCTTTCTGGGTCCATGAAGCGTGGGATGGGGTGTGCCGACTTAGGTGCGGGTGCGCCGTGCGGGCTGTGCCGCTGGGGCCTTCGGTGGAACTCCCTATGAGGTCACGAAACGTGTGAGGGGTGTGCCGAGTTGGGTGCGTGTACGCCATGCGGACTTTGCCATTGAGGCCTCCGGGTGCGCTCCCGATAGGGCCACGAATCCTGTGAGGGGTGTGCCGAATCGGGTGCGGGTGCGCTGTGCGGGCTGTGCCGCTGGCGCATTCGGTGGAGCTGCCTGTGGGGCAACGAAACGTGTGAGCGGTGTGCCCAGCTGGGTGCGGGTGCGCCATGCGGAATGCGCCGATGTGGCCTTCGGTGGAGCTGCCTGTGGCGCCATGAAAAATGTGAGGAGTGTGCGGAAGCGGGCGTGGGTACGCCGTGCGGACTGTGCCACCCGAGCTTTCGGCGGAGGTCCTTGTGGGGCCACGAAACGTCTGAGTGGTGTGCCGAAACGGGTGCGGGAGCGCCATGCGGATCGTGCCGCTGGGGCCTTCGATGGACTGCCTACGGAACCACGAAACGTGTGAGGGGTGTGCCGAGTCGGGCGCCATGCGGACTGTGCCGCTGGGGCCTTCGGTGAAGCTCCGTATGGGGTCACGAAGCGTGTGAGAGGTATGGCGAATTGTGGTTCGGGTACGCCACGCGGACTGTGTCACTCGGGCCTTCGCTGGAGCTCGTATGGGTCCACGAAACGGCCTTCGGTGGAGCTCCCCAGGGGGCCACGAAGCGTGTGAGGGGGTGTGCCGGATCGGGTGCGGGTGCGCCATGCGGACTGTGCCGCGGGGGCCTTCGGTGGAGCTCCACATGGGGCCACAAAGCGTGTGAAGGGTGTGCCGAATCGGATGCGGGTACGCCATGCGGACTGTGCTGCTGGTGCCTTCGGTGGAGTTCATTGGGGGGCCACGAAACGTATGAGGGGTGTGCCAAACCGGGTGCGGGGTGCGCCATGCGGACAGTGCCGCTGGGGCCTTCGATGGAGCTCCCTCTGGCGCAACGAAGCGAATGAACGGTGCGCCGAATCGAATGCGGGTTTGTCATGCGGACGGTGGGCCTTTGGTGGAGCTTCTTTGGGGGCCACGATTCGTGTGAGAGGTGTGCCGAATCGGGCGGATCTGGGTACGCCATGCAGACTGTGCCACCAGAGCATTTGGTGGAACTCCCTACAGCCAGTGTGTTAATTCGCTAGTGAGTTTGACGATGTGCGGTCGCCTGCTCCCCAGGATGAGCGTTTTGTTGTTTTTTTTTTGGGGGGGGGAACTATAGCGACGGTTTGAGGTCATGAGCCGACGCATCTGCGATAACCGCCGACGGATCCAATCAAATGTGCGCGGGTCTCATTTGATTCTGCTATATGTTTCGGTGGATCCGCACGGATCCGATTTCGGGTGTTGTGGATCCGATATCCGTCCTGTTTTTCGCGCGGATCCGATTTCTATCCCGCTATAAAATCATATAGTTGAATTTGCACGGGGAGCGGAAGACGTCAGATCCGCGGGCCCCGCAACTGCAGCCCGCCCGTGTTCACATTCCACGGGGCAATGGGGGGTCGGTTATCAACCTCCTGGGATGAGTCCTGCGCTGTGTCGCGCACTCCCATCAGCTCTCCGCGCGCGCGGGCCCCACTCAAGATGAATGCATATCTGTCCTCCTGGTTGTTGCAAACAGCTCTTCCAGGTGCCGTGTGTTCGGCGGCGCAACTCTCGAACTCCCCATCGCCGTTTTCGCCTCGAGAGGAAAATCTTCCGCTCTGCGTAAATCCGCCGTTCCGGCGTGTGAGCTTCGAACAGCCTGAGCTGCAGCCTGCAGCCTGAGCTTCAGCTCTGTTGGGGGGGGGGGGCCGGGGGGGGGTATGCCAGGGAAGGCGGGGGGGGCCGCCTGTGCTCCGTTCGCTTAGCGGGGCTGGGGAACATACGTATCAGCCAAATTCTCACCCTGGGGCCCAGACTTTGCCCGGAATGGCCCCTGGGGTGGGCCGCCAGACATTTCCCTGACGGCTCAAGATGCACCCAAGATGGCCCAGGGTGCCCCCCCCAAAAACCAGGAGAAACCCGAATCACTGATTTTCTATTCGCTTTTGAAGGATTTGGGCGCTTCATTCTTTTCGGCCTTCCGACGGCCGCAGCGGCCCAGATCGCCCCAAAGATGGCCCTATGACGGCCCGAAAGGCCCCCAAGACGGCCCCAATAGGGTCCCAAGACGGCCCCATAGGCCCCCAAGGCGATCGAGATAGCCTGCAAGACGGCCCTGAAACGCCTCCAGACTGCTCCCAGGCGGCACAGCGAAGCGCCCAAGACGACTTCCGTCGGGCCAGGAACGCCCTAAGACAGCCAAGAAGGCTTCCAGGACACCCACAAGAGGCTCAAAAACCCCCTCCCGAATGTTCACGAATGTGCCCCCAATTGAATCCCCCCCGCCGCCTCGGACGGATCCCGACCCGACCCCCTGCGCGTCGTCGTCGTTGTTCGTCGGCCGTCGCCGTGGTTCGCGTTTGTCGTGAGTCGTCGTTCGTCGGCCGTCGTCTTGGGTTTGGGTCGGTCCGACGGTCCTTGTCGTCGTCCTCTTCGTCGTCGTCTGTCGCCTTCGGTCGTCGCCGTCGTCGACGTCGGTGCGTTTGCATTGGCTTTAAACTTCAAGGAAAATCCCCTCCATTCTGACTCAGACCAGAGAGTTGGTAAGTGCGATATGCGTCAAACTCGGCGCGTGTTGAAAAGCTGCCGAACAGCCACCCGGGCCCGCCCCGCCCCGCGCATTCTCTCATCCACGCTCCAGGCCGCAACCACCTTGCGACTGCCAGTCTCGACCCCGACCTCGCCCGCAAGGGCCCGAGCATTCCTGACAGCATCGCGCTTGCGCTACAGTGCTGGAACAGACGCAATGGCTCGCTCTGAAAGCGCGCAAGTGGAGCCAAGGCGGCGACGGATGCAAACAGGTTGAGAACATGACGTTGGACCCAACAATCTGCCTTATGTAATATGATCGTCAAAATTTCACTACCAACACTAATCCACTGACTGTCGGGGGCCACGAACCGTGTGAGCCGTGTTCGGAATCGGGTGCGGGTGCGCCATGTGGACTTTGCCGCGGTGGCCTGTTGTGGAGCTCCTATGAATCCATGAAGCGTGTGAAAGGGGTTACCGAACTGGGCGCGGGTACGCCACGCTGACTGAAGCACAGGGGCCTTCGGCGGAGCTCCTATGGGGCCGCGAACGGGTGTGAGGTGTGCTGAATCGGGCGCGTGTAGGCCATGCGCAGTGTGCCAGTGGGGCCTCGGTGGAGCTCCCATACGGGGCCACACAACGTGTGAAGGCTGTGCCGCATCGGGTGCGGGTGCGCCATGCGGAGTGTGCCGCTGGGGCCTTCGGTGGAGCTCCCTATATTATGAGGCTACGAAGCGTGCGAAGGGTGTGCCGACTTGGGTGCGGGTACGCCGTTCGGACTGCGTCACTGATGCCGTCCAAAGAGCTCCTGGGGGGCCACACGACGCCTGAGGGGTGTGCCGAAACGTGACCGATGGTGGTGGTGATTCTGATGCTGATGCTGATGCTGATGCTGCAGATCATGATAACGATGGTGGTAATGATGATGAGGATGGGGATGCTGATGATAATGATGATGCTGAAGGTGGTGATGATGATGCTGATGATGATGATGATGGGAGGAGGGAGGAGGGACGAGGGGGGGGAGGAAGGAGGAAGGAGGAGGGAGGACGGAACACGGGGCGCTGCCTCTTCTAAGCGAGGGTTGCGGATGGCAGGGGCCAAGATGGGAGGAGGGAGGAGGGGGAGGAGGAGGTGGAGAGGAGAGGAGAGGAGAGGGATACGGGGTGCTGTCTCTCCAAGACGAGGACCCAATACCACAAGGTGCTTAGGAGTCAGACGCCTGGACCTCACGGTTGGGGACCCCCGATCCTCCGCAACCCCCGGGCGCCGATGCCCTGCAACGACGGCCCCGACGGCCTCGGAGAGAGCCGCTGCCGCGGCTGCCGCGGCTTCGCGGTGCATCTGTCCGCAATATCAAAGAGGTCTGCCGCGGCCCGGCGCCCTCTTTGGCAGGCCGTGGCGGGGAGACGACGCCCCGCAGAAGCGGTGTGGACGTCGCCTGCGCACACTCCACCACGGAGGCCTCCCAATGTCAAATGGGGTCGGGGTGCAATTCACAAAGAACCCCAAGTAAGGAGCGAGGCCTCATTTTTCCATCAATGAAGCTTGGATTTCCCGTGGAAGGCCTAAGGAACACCGGATAACAACTGTAAACACAATTGAGGAACACTGAGCACGAAAAGGGCTCCTTCCTTAGCGGCCCGACTATGGACGTAGCCTGCGCCCACTCCACCATGGAGGCTTCCCAAATAAGGTCCGAGTGGACGAGGTCGAAGGATCGCGCCGCATCGCCGATGTATCGGCGATCTGGCGCGATGCACCGACCCCATCTTCCTCGACACCAGTTGGGAGGCCTGGACACCAGCAACCTGTATACGACTCCAAAAAACGGCGATCCTTGAAAGTGACCAGGTTGGGAACGGCGTCGCAGCTCCAAGCCTTGCGTATGTTGCCCCAATGCTTCCCGAGGGTCTGCACTGCATCGTAGTTGGCCGCCGGGAACCATTTAGAGACCACGCCCTGTAGCCGCTTTATCAAGGAGCGGGGGAAGCTGCCAGCTCGAGAGGCCACCCGCAGTGGATACGATCTACCACGGTGATTATGAGCAATGTGCCCACTTTTCAAACGTCGCCGCTTGTGCTCGCCTTGCTGCTCCCATTGGGCCCCTCTCATAGGTACAATTTTGCTCATGACGCTGGGACCAGGTGGTGATCTGTAGGGCAGCATGGGGTAATGCAGCGTCTAGGCTTAATTTCCAAAGTGGTGCCTGCAAACTTGTGTGTGTGTGTGTGTGTGTGTTTTGTTCTTCTGATTTTTCGCCGAATCGCCGCCCGTGGCCGCCTCGTGGCCGCCCTGTGCGCTGGCTGGCGTTAGCACCCAACATATTTTTCAATCATTTCGACCTTAATCCCAATGCCGAGGTCGGACTTAACGGTCTGGCTTTTCACATTGTGGTTCACATTCGCTCTTTGCACGGTCGTTTTCGTTTTGAAACATAAGGTCGTATATCATGCGCAAGAAGCCAGTACCGACCCCCCCAGTCATCCCGTGCAAAAGAAAAGCGGGGCACACACGTTGATCTAACACATGCGTTTTGTATGAGCCCCGGGCAACCAGCATTTAGACCACGCGCGCACGTATCGACATCCTTCCAACACCATGAGCTGTCAGTGCGTGTTGACCAGCACCTGCCAACACACACTTGTTTTTTGCTGTGCCGCTCTGTCGCGCATGCCGATGTCTTTCAGAACACATCGCGCGCGCCAACTCCGTGAAACAGTGCCATGCCGGCCACACGTGCGCGTCCCCGCGCGCGCATGTCGAAACCATTGCAGCACCATTGCGGCACCATGTCCACACCCATAAGACCACATGCTCAGAATTCCTGGGCCCGCGCACGTCCTCACCACCCTCATCAGCACCATCGTCGTCAATCTCACTATCATCGTCGTCGTCATCGTCGCTGTCGTCGCCCTCGTCATCAGCGTCACCACCATCAGCATCATCACCGTCATCGTCACACTCGGCGTCGTCGTCGCCAACACCATTTCTCGCCTGGCCGAGTCAGGAATCTGCAGGGGCAGGGTCCGCGCGTCATTGTGCGCCTATTTAGGGAGCCCGCAAAGGACGTACGCGCCCAACTATGTACATGAACACGGCCCCTCGATCCGCGAGACCGGCCGCGTTATACGAACATTTGCGCAATGCGAATTCTCGAAACCAGCGTGGATTCATGTACGTGTACGTCCGTTTGTCGCTCCTGACTATTGAGAGCTGCGAGCACGTTCCGACGAGTAGCTTCATTCAGCCCCCAAGAGTTTTGCCGACACGTTGCGTGCGGGTGGGTGGGATGTTTGCTCGAGCATGGGAGGTGGTCGCGCGCTGATGCCCACAGCTGATTGCGCGACATAAGTTGCTCAACATGGGTCGCGTCGAGCAGCTGGCGTAACGACAATCACACTCCATAGATTGCCTACGCCAATCAGCCTGCACCAGACAGAGTGGACGCCACAGAATGTGCCGCATATTCGGTCCTTTCAATAGAAAGAGAGAGTACACCCTCCTCCCCCTCCCAGGGTTATCGGCATCCACTGGGACATTGCAATTTACATACGATGTTGCCTCATCCTTCATATTAATATGAAGCCATACCATCCCAGGAGGCCCCGTGTTTGACCCGCCCATGCGCGCGCACTCGCTTACCGGCAACATTTTTGAATCATCCCTGGTTAGAGATGCCATAAGACGTCCACACGTGCGCGCGCTGGGTCGCGCGCGTGTCAAAATCAGTGAAAAATCATTTTCTTTGCATCAGTATCGAAAGACCGTCACACATTGCCGCTATCATGACATACTGGTTTCTTTAAGCTATTTGCTTCTGAACAAAAGTTGCCCGAATTCGGCGCGCGCGCTCGCTGACATGTCAATCGTACGTAGGTTGTTACATTTGGTCAAGCCAGACCATCTGGACCTCTCGCGCGCGCATGCCGAACATGTTCAGCCACCATCGCTCGCCCACCAATTTGTCAATCAACTATGCGGGCCACGCGCGCACGTCGAGATCGTGTCCGGATGCAGTGTTTTCTGCGGGCGCGCATTCTGTCGTCCTCATGAACGGAATCGTTTCCACCGTCGTCAGTGTCACCGTTGCCGTCGCAATCATCAGCGTAATTATCGTTACGATCACCGCCGTCATGGTCATCACCGCCACCGTCATCCTCATCATCGCCGAAATGACTGCAATTGTCGACGTGATCACGATATCGCGCCCGCCCGGGTCATCGACCCGGACTGCAGTGACCGTGCGCCAGCGCGACCTTTGAGACGTGCTGGGAAGTTCCCATCTGTACGCGCCATGGCGGCCGCTTCGTTTTGTGCCAAACCAGCTGGTCTATTTGCGCGTGAGTCGGTGCGCGCCAGTGCGGCCCATTATATCGCGCGCGCCCAAGCAACCGACCAGGACTGAAGTGCCCGCGCGCCAGCGTGGCCTAACAGACGCGCTGGGAAGTCGCCATCGGTAATCGCCATCGCGGCCGCCTCATTTGTTCCCAACCAGCTGGCCGACTTGTTTCCCAACCACCTTGTGGTGTTGGGTTCTAGTTTTGAGAATATAACGCCCCGCGTCTCACTCAATCCTTCCTCCTCCTCGCGCGTGGCCGCGGCGCCTCGGTCTGCTCCACGGCAGACAAAATGCGACGGGCACCTCGAATCTCTGGGCTGACGGCTCCAGAAGCCCGAGCTTGTCGATCCCATCCCACCCAGGCACCACCGCCCCCTCCCCAACGATCTTGGTTACTAGCTCCGCCAAGACAGGGCATTGCCAGTAGTGACGCATGCAATCAGGCTGAGGGCACCCAACCACGCATGTCGACCCGAGCTGCTGAAACCTTTGCTGGGTCAGCCATGCTTTTGACAGGGTGCGGATCATAGCAAACGCGTGTGATACTTTCATTCGGCACATATTTAGGCTGACGGCGTCCCAGTCCATACGGAGGATCTTTTCTTCAAGCTCGGGGAACCAACCACGGAGCCTCCGAAGAAAAAGAAAGCGCAGGGCGTCCGAGGGAAAAAGGGTGGCCGTCGAAGAGGCCTGGAGATTGCGTTGGATCCTCAGCCGTGGGGGACGCCGACCAGCAAGACAGAGCGCGGTGGCCTCAGAACTCAGGCGGTGGACCTCAGAATATCCAGGAAGAAGATGAGCCAGCGTCGGGTTCTCTGGAAATCCCCTGGCAGCCTCTTGGAGCCTCTGACATAGCGCAGGTTCCCCCCACCAAGTCGGAGACCATTCCCCCTTCAGCACACCCACGATCGGTAGCTCACGAAGAGCCTGCTCACGTAGCCTGCGTGCGAGAGGAGGCCAGCAATTCGCGAAGGTCGAGAGAGCGGCCCTGCCGTGCGCGGCGTAGGCGCCGAGGGTGACACAAGCAAGCTTCGGGCCCCCCCATTTGCTCATCCCAAACCATCCAGTTCGACTGAGAGCGCAGTGCGGGAAGTGGAAGATACGGGCCAGCATCTCAATCCTTCCTCCTCCTCCCTCCTCCCATCCCTGCCTCTGCCCTCCGCATGTCTCTGTTTCGGCCCCCCCCCTCACGCTTCGTGGCCCCATAGGGAGCTCCACCGAAGGCTCTGATGGCAGGTTTCGCATGGCGCCATCACACCGATTTCGGCGCCTCCCTCGCATGTTCCGTGGCCCCTCAGGATGCGTCCCCTGTGCCAGTTACGGCACACCCCTGGCACGTTTCGTGGCCCCATAGGGACCCCCACCAAAGGCTCCAGTGACACCCAAGCCGGCGCACCCCTCACACAATTCGTGGCCCCATGCGAAACACCACCGAAGGCTCCCGTGGCAAGGTTCGCATGGCGCCGCCGCGCCCATGTCGGCACACCCCTCACGCGTTTCCTGGCCCCACAGGGAGCTCCACTGAAGGCTCCAGTGGCAAGGTTCGCATGGCGCCACCACCGCACCCATGTCGGCACACCCCTCATACGTTTCGTGGCACTATAGAGGGGGCTCCACCGAAGGCCCCAGTGAAAGGGTTCGCGCGGCGCCACCGCGCCCATGTCAGCACATCCCTCACACGCTTCGTGGCCTCATAGAAAGCTCCGCCGAAAGCCCCAGTGGCGATTTTCGCATGGCTTCCCCATAGTGAGCTCCACCGAAGGCCCCAGCGGCGGTTCTCGCATGCGTCCCCCGCGCGCACCACTGCACGCCCCTCACAAGTTTCGTGGCCCTATAGGGAGCTCCACCGAGGACGATGCTCACAACTGCGTTACGCACAACTGCATATGGTTGGGTCCTTCGCCAGGCTAATTTTTGGCACGCGCAAATTGAAGCAGAGGTTGCGTCGGCAACGCACCGAGTCCCACACGGACCTCTGCTTGAACCCTGCCACATGCTAGTTGCCATAAAGGTTAATTGAACCCGCCTGCGCGCCGCGCCGGCGCCCTCATGTGCTTCGCGAATCAGTCGAACTCCTCGCAATAGTACCATATGTATTTAGACTGACCACGTCATTGACACTAAAGAGCGTGAGCAACATAGCTAGGCAGGAAAGGAAGACACGCTCTATGATGGAACAAAGCCCGGAAGCGAAGCCGACAACCAAGAACTCCTCGACAAGAAACTCTAACACCACAAGCACACCTATGAATGGGACCACGTACTGCAACTCCCGCGCGCGCCCAGCCGAGAGCACGACCGCGGCGAAAAAGGAACTCCCTGGAGACCACCTCCAGCCCCTTGCCGACATGGCAGACTCAGAGTCGGACCAGCGCAGCAACCCACCAGAAATATGCAAGCGAAGCGAACGGATCCGCGCCAGAAGTGCGGGCCGATCTGCGCGGAAGCGAGCGCGCGCCAGTGCGGCCGCAGAGATCCGCCAGCAAGTTCCAAATGACAGCTGCAGTCGCAGCCGAACGGGTGTTGCGAAACACTTTGAGTTCCACGCGCCCGTGCGCTCGTTGAGACCATGGCCATATTAGATTTGCGGACAAGTTGCGGGTGAGAGAGTGGGATGTTC